CGAAAGCATGTTTCGATTATTGATCAATGAAAAGTGGAATTGCCTGCAAAAAAGGATAGGCATATGCTTTGTTTCTCTATCTTCCGAATGTTATCAATTTCACGCTGCTCTGCGGGATAGGGGGAACGCGCGGCGTGCAATGAACTGGAAGTTGATCTGTCAGCACTTCCTCCTTATGCAGGCAGTTTTATTTTATTAGGCTTATAATCTTACTAAATGAGAATTCAACTATTTACTTTGATATGATTTAAATCAATTCATTAATATCACGAATCACATCAAATTTTCTGTTGCAATTTTTTAATTCGACTACGCCGTAATTATGCATTTACATGCCGTGCGTTGAAGAAATGTTTAATAAAGTAAAGAAATAATATTAACTTTTATTTTTTGTTTGCAAATTTGATACCCTTTAGATCATAATTGTTCTTTTATTCATAAATTACAGTTTCATATTTTAATTTTATAATTTCTGCAGCCATCTTACCAGATTTTAACTGATGATCTACAATCGGAAATTGATAATCCGGAAATCGCGAAGTCCATTAAAGACTTTTGACTATAAAAAAATCTTGTATTTCAACAGTTTCATATTTACAATTTGTTTTGGTAAAATTTTCAGCAATTAATCAATACATAATTTTTTAAAATAAAAATATAAATTAAAAATATAGGAAAAAAATTGAAAAATACCTTTTTAATTTTCAAGTTTCGTATTTTATTCACTCGCAATAAATAATCCTCATCTAAATCCAATGAAGTTATTTTTTCTGCTGTTCTAGTATCATCACCTTCTTCCAAACTAAAGCTATATGCGGGCATTTCAAACAAATTGACCACAAGTACCTTAGGACCTAAAAATACATATTTTAATTCAAATAGATGCTACTCTCTGTATTATGCAAGGCATTTAAAAATAGTTTTCATAAATAGCAAGATTTTTAAAACACAGTAAAAATGCTAGTTTTAAAAATTCTAAACCACTTATAGAGTGCACACCTAAAAATATTTTTTATGGAAGAATTTTAACACAAGATACGAAATGACTAAGCATTTAATCGCTGAAAGAAACATGCTCCATAATACAGGGTGTTTATAAAGTCCCAGAACCATTTTCATGTTTAATAACTCATAAAATAATAAAAATAGATTAAAATTAATAACATAAAGGGTTAGATAGACTCAAAAAGTTTCATGACCCTTTGTCAATGAACTTCCCCGTGTGCCCCCTTTGTCGCATGGAGAATATCAAGTCGATATTCAATTTCACGCCAGGTACCGGGACCAGCATGTCCACAGAGGCTATTGCGGTTGTAATTCTGGCATTTAGGTCATCCATGTTCGACACTCTCCTCCTGTAAACGTTGTCCGTAAAGGACAACGTTTACAGGAGGTTTACAGGTTACAGGTTTACAGGAGGTCCTTTACGGACAACTCCTCCTGTAAACGTTGTCCTTTACGGACAACGTTTACAGGAGGAGAGTTCTATCATTACAGGAGGAGAGAGTTCTATCAGGTGATCTGAGTGGCCAAGGAATTGGACATCCTCGCCCAATCCACCTTCCTATAAAATGGATCAAAGAACTACGAACGATGGTACCCCAATGAGGTGGTGCACCAACTTGTAGCAGAAAGACATGCGGCTGAAGCTCTTTAGTTGTGGAATGAAGTGTATCCAACATGGCTAAGTATCAACTGATGACACCGTCTGTTTTGTACAAAAAAAAAGGCCCAAATTCGGATGTGCATTAGTCACACACACATAACCCTTAACTGCCGCGGCGTATATATCGCCTTGCTCAGCCGATGCCGTTAACTGCCCAGGTGTATATACATCCTCCAAACTGCTATATTTGCTTTGCGCTGCTACCCTAAATTATTCGCAAAGTTAACGCATCGGCTACGCATCTGGGGCAGTTAACGCATCGGCTGAGCATGTTATATACCCCGCGCAGTTAAGGGTTCCTTTGGGGAATTTCTTTGTGCCTCACGGTATTCATGGGGCTTTCGATCCTCATATGTGCACATTATGGCAACATTAAAAGAGAGGAAAAGCAATTAATAAGCAGACGATATTTAGAAAAGTACAGATATTTAGACTGAAAAAAATTATCTGAAATTAACCACACGCGGACGAATTACAAAAAAAAAAAAAAAAGATATTCAAACTGAAAAGAAAATATAAAGTTATTCTATCAATAAATCATAAGTTTTTATACCTTCATTATTTTATGAGTTATTAAACATCAAAAGGTCCGGGACTTTATAAACACCCTGCATAATACATGTTAATGAAAAAATAATACATCAATATACAGGTGCTAGATATTATATGTTAGTATATACAGAACATAGTCTTTAATCCGGACATCTATAATCCGGACCTCAAAGCTCAACTTTTTCACGGCTACCGTTACGCGTTTCATGTATAACAGATGATAGCTAGGCTAAAATTATCTAATTTCTATTTCAGTTAATGTTGGCTGATGCGTTGTTCCTTAATCTTCGAATTGGATCCGGCTTATTATTTTTTGCAGACTTAGACAATTTATAAAAAGTAAGCTTAAACTTTCGATTATGTCAAAAGAGTTTCTGATCCTGGAGCTGCAAAGGATCTACAAGCGAAAGCATGTCCTTGTCATCAAACAAAAAGTGAAATTGCTGCAAAAAGATAAAGGCAAAAAAATTGACAGAGAGGTTAGTGAAAACGAAAAAATTTCGATGACAAGTTAGTATGTATTTCGGCACAGCAATTACAGGACTTGAACAGTGAACTTTGTAACGAAAGAATATTATGTTTTTAAAATTAAAGAAAAACTTAGCACATAAAACGAAGCAACTTAAATAATTTCACAGAAAGACTGTTTAATAAGTAAACAAATAAATATTAAGCTATTTTTTTGTAAATTTTGATACCCTTTAGTCATAATTGCCCTCTTTATTTCATAAATTATGGTTTTCATATTTTTAATTTTATAATTTCTGCATGCCATCTTACCAGATTTAAATTAATGATCTATAATCCGGAAAAACCCCTAATCCGGAATCACCGAAGTCCCAACGAGTCCGGATGAAAGACTTTGTATATGTATATAGTACGAGTTTATTGGTATCAGAAATCCTAATTATCCTATCTGAGGTAAAAGTGCAGGGGAAATAGATCTGTAAAATTGTAAAGAAGAATAGTCCTTTTAATTCCTCATTTTAATTTGACTAAGTGCCCTTCTTGGAATCTAAAGTGCATCATATCTGAAAACTGACCTGCATTATGTCATCTTATTAATCCTCAATAAAGTTAACTCTTGTCCAATCTCTGTTCAAAATTTAAGCAAAGAATTCAACTCTACAAATACCCCCTTATTGAAATATGCAGTACCTTCATCCTGTTTGCAGATGCCACTCAGCTCACCATTTTATCTACTGTCTCAAAATGTGATCACTTATGTAGAATTGTAGGGGTGCTTGTCACACACGTAGTAATGTGTTAAATAGAATAAGTGTCCTCAGAGTTCATCAAGAAATAAAAATATGTCATGAATCTACAGCTATTTTTGGTCTGCATCCTAAAGTATTACAAAAAATAGAGCTATCAAGGTCACAATGACCCTATATATGTGACTTTCAATGTGTTTATGTGTGTGTCCATGAAAGTTACCTATAGGAAAAGCCCTCAGTGCAATTTGTCTAAATTATCACAATTAATACTGTCCACTAGGATGTGAATCGCTTTACAACTGCAGCTGAAGCTAAATTACTAGACAGCAAGAAAAGAGGGGAAGGAGGTTTTCAAATCAAGTTCATCCACCAATAAATCGAAAGTGTGTGGTGCAAATTTTTTGCTTCGAATTTCAGATGGTTATGAAATCGGGTTTGTCAGCTTAAAAGTTAAACATCATTGAGTGCATCATCAAACTTGCTTTCTTGGCATCAAATATGGAAATTACGCTGTGAATTCATTATATAATGTTCTAAAAGAAGTAAAAAGTATTATTATTACAAACTGAGCTTTTAATAATTTAATACCTTCTTTTAAATAATATTCAATTGATAAGTGAGTAATTTTAATGTTGTTTCACGATTTATTTGTAATGCATTTAACGTTGCTTAACATGCTTAAATCAAGTAATTTATCAATTTCTTGACAAAATTGTAAATGCAGACAAGGTTGGAAAACCCTAAAAATATCCCAAATTATCACTATTCATAAGGATAAATTTAGCTGTCGATTATTTGATGCAGCAAAAGATTTTCCTGTAGACAAATATTTGATATTCTTTGAAAAATGATACAGCAGAAAAGGTATTTCCGCCAAAGATAAACTAACTATATTTCCAGACTTTTTAAAAGGTGAGCCCTACTCATTTTACATTCACAAATGTGTTGAAATTGAGGATATGTATGTATTTAGAGAAAAATTTTTAATTTACTTCTCTATTCGGAAAATATTACATTTGATGACATTCGGTTATATATAATAAATTTAGAGTTATTGATAAGTATTTCCATCACAATTTAAAATTAGGTTCTGCTTTTCATATAAAAGATAAAACTCTTATTCAGCTTTTAACAAAAGGTTTGCCAGAGCAGTGTCATACATACAAAATATAAGTTTACTTCAAAATTGGATTTTGCAAGCAAAAAAGTTTATTTCCAAATTCAAGTTCACCTCAAAAACCAAAAAATGCCAGTAATGTGCCCAGATTTGCTGTTCACAGGCAGTCCACGCTTTTATTATCCATGATATAATACTCCAAGATCAAATTACCCTAGATCTTATGTACTTCAAAATTCGGTCAGAAGACATGTTCAGCCACCACCATTGAAATACCCAAATTCACAATATTATAGCCAACATTCGCAAATTATAGCCCACATTAGAACCCATTAAAAACAAACTTTACCTAAAAAAATACAATATTTTACGTTAAATGTTATGGCAAGAAATAACTTCCCTGCTACTATAGATACAGTTAGTCAGGTTAATGAAATTTTTGACAACACTAAGTTGTTTTGATAATTTGAAAATTGAAAATGAAACTTCAATAAAGCTATTGTCTTTATTTGAAGGTCTTCCTGTCCCTAAATTAATTAAATTTTCATTAAAATTGGAACATTAAGTAATGATGTGATATTTTATGTTGTTAATTCTCATTTAAATTATTTATTGTTGTCTTCACCTTGTGTTTGCTTAAATTACAACTCAATTTCGCTGATTATGCATGTATCAATTTAACCTTCCAGCACGTGAGCTATGCACAAAATTTACGACAAATTCGGGTTTTAATGCACACTTTTCGCATATAGCAGCCGAGGCATCTGAATGTCATTTCTATTCTTCCTTTGAACCCTTCCCCACATCATGGAATGTGCCAAAGGGAAGTCGTATGACATTTTTTGTTTTTTTATTGAGCTTTTGCACTACATGGCAATTTTTTCATAAAAATTACGACACGCACGTGGTCGTGGGGGAAAATTCGGAACACACGTTTTCTCAAATATTTTGTAATTTTGTGTTATTAATTGACGTGTATTATTTTAATTTGTATAAATTTGGGTCTATAATTTTTATATTGGTTTTCATGGTAAAACAAATATGTGCAACCAGCTAATTTTGCTCGCATTCTTCAAGAATTATCTGATGAAGAAAAAGAAGACAAGGAAACTTTTGGATATGAGAATAACAGCACTGTTACCTGAGTGAAAATGATGGCCTAATTTTTATTTTTATATATGATAGGAATAAAAAAATGACCCCATGTAATTGCAAAAGAATTGTTCTCAAGTGATGGTATTGGAATTGAAATAACAAGAGCTGTAATGATCTACAAGAGATTTTTATGTCTGACAAGTTGAT